CAACGGTCCGGCATGACCCCATAAACTTGTCCCGACATTGATTCCGGTTAGCTTCTCCAACGGTCCGACATGACCCCCTAAACTGTCCCGACATTTGATTCCGGTTAGCTTTTCCAACGGTCCGGCATGACCCCATAAATTGTCCCGACATTGATTCCGGTTAGCTTCTCCAACGGTCCGACATGACCCCCTAAACTGTCCCGACATTTGATTCCGGTTAGCTTTTCCAACGGTCCGGCATGACCCCATAAATTGTCCCGACATTGATTCCGGTTAGCTTCTCCAACGGTCCGACATGACCCCCTAAACTGTCCCGACATTTGATTCCGGTTAGCTTTTCCAACGGTCCGGCATGACCCCATAAATTGTCCCGACATTGATTCCGGTTAGCTTCTCCAACGGTCCGACATGACCCCCTAAACTGTCCCGACATTTGATTCCGGTTAGCTTTTCCAACGGTCCGGCATGACCCCATAAATTGTCCCGACATTGATTCCGGTTAGCTTCTCCAACGGTCCGACATGACCCCCTAAACTGTCCCGACATTTGATTCCGGTTAGCTTTTCCAACGGTCCGGCATGACCCCATAAATTGTCCCGACATTGATTCCGGTTAGCTTCTCCAACGGTCCGACATGACCCCCTAAACTGTCCCGACATTTGATTCCGGTTAGCTTTTCCAACGGTCCGGCATGACCCCATAAATTGTCCCGACATTGATTCCGGTTAGCTTCTCCAACGGTCCGACATGACCCCCTAAACTGTCCCGACATTTGATTCCGGTTAGCTTTTCCAACGGTCCGGCATGACTCTATAAACTGTCCCGACATTGATTCCGGTTAGCTTCTCCAACGGTCCGACATGACCCCCTAAACTGTCCCGACATTTGATTCCGGTTAGCTTTTCCAACGGTCCGGCATGACCCCATAAATTGTCCCGACATTGATTCCGGTTAGCTTCTACATCGGTCCGGTGTGACCTCGTAAACTGTCCAAACATTATCTGCTACAACGGTCTGACACGACCATACAGTGTCTCCTATCCATTTTTTATTTTATTTGTCAGATTATTTTCCTGTTTTGTTACTCTCTCCAAACTCAAGTTGGTTAGTGCCTATCCTCCTTGAGTTTGAGGGGGGCTGTTAGAATATAAGAATTACATGACCAAAGAATGTTTTTTGAGCTTTTGCCACTATGCACTGCATCAAACACCATTACGTGATTGGGCACTGGTTAACCGCCTAATATGTAAACTAAAAGATACTATCCATTATACAATTACAGTTTCTAAAACACCAATAAATAAATAAACCTTATGAAGGTTCACTAAAATTAATGAAATTACATGGATAGAGGAAGGTTTTTTGTGGTGCTACAACTTTTCACATGGTAATTATTACAATCATATTTTCAACAAAAAATAAAATAAAATTAAAAATTAAACCAGCATATTTCAATTGACTTCCTTTACTTCACAGACATTGATTTCAAATTTTCTTTCAAGGGATACAATCATATGTCATCTAGTGGCTTCACTACAAACACATCCACCTAAAAAAGTCAAGCCAAATGTCTCCTTTGTGATTTAAGCCAAGAGGAAGACCTCACTTGTGCAGATCTGCAATGGGTATAGGTAGTTAATTCTCACTTTGACAATTCCAACTTAATTGTTAGAAATGAAAATGAAACTCAAGCCACAATGAAATCAGAAAATTAGTAAAACATAACCTAAAATGAAACAATACTCCATTCAGACATTTCAACAAACAATTGTAATAGTTGTAGGCTAAACGTTTGCCTTGGTTATGCTTTAGCTGATGAGCTCTGATTCGTAGCTTGAATTCGGAGGCTCGAATTTGGTCCGAATTCGGAGAAGAGGGAGAAGAGAAGAAGAAAAAGGAAGAAGAAGAAGAAGAGAAGAAGAAGGAGAAGAAGAACTGGACTGGAGGGGGCCATCAAAATCAGAGGTGGAGGCGGAGGTGGAGGCGGAGGCGCCGACCGGTGGAGGCAGAGGCGGAGGCGGGGCCGAGCGACGAGCTGCGATGCCAACGAGCTGTGTTCAACGACGTCGACGAGCTGTGTCCGACGAGCTCTGTTTCTCTCTCGCCTCTGCCCTGCTCTCTCTCGCCTGTGTTCAACGAAGAAGAAGAAGAAAAGAAATAAAGAAAAGGACGATAAAGAAAACGAAGAAAAAGAAGAAAAAAAAAAGAATGGCAAAACGACGTCGTTTTGCCATTCGAGCCAAAATCGAGCCACGAATTTCGAGCTATCAGTTATTTTCCTTAGCTAATTTGGCTGGGTCTACTCACATTGTACCAGATGTCAGTTTTTGATAGGTCTGTGGCACCACGTGGTGGAAGTGACGTGGTGCCATTGGGACCATGAATGAATAATCTCTCCTTCCCAATTCCTTCCTCATAATTATTGTTCTCTCACTACAAAAGTCATCACAAAAGTCTTCCCAGTTCCTTCCTCGCATCATAGTGACCTCGTTATTCACACTATATCTTCCATCACTCTCCTTCTATCTTTTCCATTGCAATTGTTCTTTCTCCATTTGAAATTTCCAAACCCCTCAGAAGAATTTACGGACTTGATCTGCTTTTTGATTTTTTGCAACAATGTATGAAAACTGTTTTTATTTTATCACTTTACAATTGTCATTGTGTGAGATCTTGTCTGTATGATTTCAAAAAAAAAAAAAATTTCCTGATCTGTGCTGTGCTTGAAGTTTTATAAGCATTTTAACAGCTTAATTTGGTTGTTTTTAAGAATTTAACCACGCCTCTATCATTGTTCTTTGCTTATTTTTTCTCTTTTCTTTTAGATTCTTCTAGCAAAGCATCTTGGTTTCTCTCTGGCTTGAAAGGTAAAGTGTTAAATATATATATATATATATATATCATTTCTTTTTTCAAGGATATATATCTTTAGTGTAGTAGTATATGCATATTTACTCTTATGCCTTTTTCATCTTATGTTTTTTCCTCTCCTTTATCCATGCTTGCCTGAATCTCAATCCGAATCTTTTAATCTTACAATTTTACGATCCATTTGGATACAATAGATTTGGATAGTGTAAAAAAAAAATTTACAAGTAGGATCTTTCAATCCTAATAGTTGGATCTCATAGAATCATGAAATTTCAATTCAGATTCGATTCTACCAATTCAATTTTTAATCCTTGTAATTTATGAGGTAATTTTATTGTTTTTTTTTTTTTTTTTTTTTTTTTTGTGTGTACTTTCAATCCTGATAGTTGGATCTCATAAGATCATGAAATCCCGATCTGGATCTATCCTATTAATCTAATTTTTAATCCTTGTTTTGTATTATATGAGCTAATTTACTATAAATTTTATATTTGTATACTTTTGATCCTGATAGTTGAATCTCATAAGATCGTGGAATCCCAATCCAAATCCGATCCTCCGATCTAATTTTTAATCATTGTTTTATAATATAGAACTAATTTATTGTTAATTTTATGTTTGTTACCTAAATACTAATTTTATGTAGTCCAAATGAATAAAAAATAAGCCAGATATTGAATGAAATAGGCTAATAACCAAACTAGGGAAACACATTTAAATATTGAAATAATATAAGAAAACTAACTAGTCAAAAAAAAAAAAAAAATTTGTAGTCTTAGCAGGGGTTTGGAGGGAACAAAATATACGCAATTTTATCTTAAATTTTGAAGAGCCAATTTTCGTGACTTATGAAACACATATGAATACAGTGTTGGTCAATCTTCACTGTATTTAAATAGATTAAATTCTGTTGTGTACAAAACAACAACAAGAATAAAAAGAAATAAAGAAAATGAGAGAATTTGTTTGATTACAAAAATCAAACTCGAAATAATAAATAAATAAATAAAACCACAGATTTTATTTTGTTACAAAAACAAAAAATAAAATCTGATTAAATAAACAAATAAAAACAGAATAAAATTAAACAACTTACTTGATTAATTTATTTGAATAACTTTTCTGATCAAGTTCAGTGTTTAACACTGTGTCCTTAAGACAGATTCGTCATCTCCACGGTGCTTTCAGAATTTGGACGTCTATTTCCCAGGATAAAATGATCTTATCAACGAATAAAAGCAGCACTACAGTTTAATCGTTCGTCGAACACACAAAGTGTTTACACTCTTTTTTCAGAAATAAGATGCAGCAAAATGCAGAGATTTAAAGCAGAGAATGGAGTACGAAAATTTGAGTGAAATCCAAATGGGAGGCTAGTCTATTTATAGATGTAAAGGTGGCTCTTGGTTTTGAATTGAAGAGGTATGAAACCTGTTAGTTTCAAATTTAAAGGTTTTGAATTGAAGAGGTATGAAACCAACAAACGGGTTAATAATTCAAACAGATAAAAACGGGAAGGGCTTTGCTTGGATGAGCAATAAATCCAAACCAGTTCAATTCTGAATGATCCAATGGGTCTAGCCCATTTTGCCCATAACCTCTCCCTCTAAAACACTTGGGTACCCCTTGGGGCACACCCCAAGTATCTAACCCAAGCCTTATAAACCCTTTCAAAACTTCCCACCAAATCAATGTGGGACAAGTTAAAAGTCATCAAAATCCGTTTCTTTGTACATGGCCACTACCCGATCAAAAATGAAATCAACCCATGAGATGCACAACTAAATCTATTTGGCAACTGCCTATCATGAAGAAGAAATAGGACAACTAAATTAAATAGAGATGAGCCAATCAAACATGGATAGGGCAGCTGAGTCAAATAAAGATACACCAAGCAAACATGGACAGTATGAGTGAGTTGAAAAATGATTACAGCCAAACTTCAAGATGAAGCTACCTACGTATCCCAAAGATAGGAATCAGGCCATACGTAGTTCCGGGTAAGGTTCACTCGGGTATTAATACTATCCTTTATGCTCTAACTTTTGCAAAGCCGCCTTTTCGGGTTTTCGACCTTATGAGCTTTTTTCATCATTTTTTTTTCAATTTTTCATTTTTTTCCCTTTTTTTTTTTTTTTTTTTTTTTTTTTATCTTTTATGTGGTACATTACTAATTTAGTTAAATCTTGTCCCTCATTAAACTACATTCCTCAAAAGAGTTTTTTGGTATTGTATTTGTTCTTATTAAAATACACATCCTAATTTCATAGCATAGTAAGTGGACCACAATTGAATTCTCTTTTAAGGTGCAAAATATATTTTATGACTGGTGATGTAAGATGGTATCTTTATACATTTTTCTTATTGAGGAAAATAGGTAATCTCATAATTTGTTTACACTTAAATTGTGAGTTAGGAAGACATATAAACACTTTGGATTCTTCTTCTCGGAAAAAGGGGTAAACTACCAATAGGTCCTACTAGTTGGACTTAATTCTTATCAAGTACTATTGAAAATAAGTTTTAGTAAAACCGTCGCTAAAAATAATTTTTTTGTGACAATTTTTTGTATGTTCCTAAAAATTAATAATTATCGACTTTTTTTTTGCCACAATTTTTATAAATTCTTGCTAAAACTTACAATTATTTACGTTTTTCTGTGACGAAATTTTCAAACTGTCGTTGAAAGTTAAAAATTAGTTGCTTTTTTTGTAATGGTCTTTTTAAACTGTCGCTAAAACTTATAATTAGTAACATTTTTTATGATAATTTTTAAATTGCCGCTAAAAATTAACAATTAATGACATTTTTTAATAGTATTTGATGAAAAATATTATTAATTATAATAAGACTTATTGGATAAGAAGTCCATCTATTAGGACTTACATGTAAATCCCTGAAAAGAAACACATCGATTGCCAAGTTTGAATACTTATTGTCAACAACAAAATAATATTAATAACGGTTCAAAAAAAATAATATTAATAAAAAAAGGGATGTGTCCTTATATAAATATGGAGCTATTTGTTTGTAATTTTGATTAAAGTTGATATAAACTTATATGATAAGATTGTTTTAATTTTCAACATGCATGCATTCTGCAACTTAAAAATGATTGTACAAATATTACAAAATTACATTTACATAAAATTTAAATGGGAAATTTGGCCATAAACCCCTCTTACCTTCCTTTTCATATTAAAAGGACCCAAAAAAAAAAAAAATTATACTTTCAAAACCCCCTCATAATTATAAAGTCTTGTATAAATGACAAAAATTTTTAGATTTATATTTTGTGTGACAAATTTACCCTTTCACATACGCACTCTCTATCTTTCTTCTCTTTCTCTGCATCAGTTTGTCATCTCTCTCTTAGCTCTTTCTTTCTCTATCTCTTTCTAAGAGCTCTCATCACCACCATATCTACTACCATGACTGCCATCATTCCCACCACCTCCGTCGTTTCCACCAACACTGTCTCAACCATCGATGCTGTTTGTCACCGCCACCACCGCCGCCACCGCCGCCACCGCCGTTTCACTACTAGCATCTCAACCACCAGCTCCATTCGATGCCACCATCGTCATCCTTAGTGTCCAAGACTTCAAATCTGAGATTGATGACCTCAAATTTGAGATCTATCATCTCAGATCTATATTCTCTCCCTTTTTTTCTCTGTATCCTCATCATGCTCTATTTTCCAGGCAGTAAAATTTTACTCTGGTTTGAACCAGATCTATGACAATATATGTACTCTCTCTATCTATCTATTTCTCTATTTTTTTTCTCTGGTATGTCCTCTGTTTTTGTTTGACAGAATAAGGGTAAAATTTTACTCTAGTATGCTCTGATTTTGTTTGACAGAATGAGAGTAAAATTTTACTCTAGTATGTGCTCTGTTTTTGTTTGACAAAATAAGAGTAAAATTTTACTCTGGTATGTGTTCTGTTCTTGTTTGATAAAATGAGCGTAAAATTTTACTCTGGTATGTGCTCTGTTTTTGTTTGATAAAATGAAAATAAAATTTTACTCTGGTATGTACTCTATTTTTGTTTGATGAAATGAGCGTAAAATTTTACTTCTAAGGCAATATATGTGCTTAACAATATAAAATTTTACTTTAAATCATAATAAATTTTACTCTGAAATACACTCTAGGGATGACTTTACAGGAAAACTGATATATATATATATATATATATGAGGGTAACATAGTAAAAGAAACAAGTTTTCAAATCTTAAGGAGTTTTGAAAAGATCAATATAATTCTTGTCTTTTTAAAAGACAAATTAAACAATGGGGGGTCTATCACCAAATTCCTCAATTTAAATTTAAATTGCACAGGTAGAAAACTGGTTAATGTATTATTATAGAGTGCAAAGTGGTTTGTTATAGACCTCTTTGGCATTGTTTGGTTTGTCTCTTGAAAGACAATTTTTGAGAAAAAAAATTTAAAAAATTGTTTGGTTGAAAATTTTTGAAAAAAAAAAATCCAAAATCATTTTTCGCTTTACTATATATCAATCAATTGCTTTTTCTCTCTCCTCTCTCCTTCTCTCATATCTTAAACATCAATCAATTAATTTTTCTCCCACACCAATCTATTCAACTACAAAAAAAAAAAAAATTAAATCATCTCAAACTCCAAAACTATTTTCAAAGGACACAACCAAACAAATTTTTAAATTTTGTAAAAACTCTTTCCAAAAAATTATTTTTCAAACTTGTTTTACAAATACAAACCAAACATGGCATTCATCTTCTTTTTTATGAAATGTAAAACTTTTATTATTGAGTTTTCTAGTATAATGTTACTAGCAATAGACCCGTGCTACACAGGAAGTGAAAATTTTGTATTTTTTAAATATAAAATTTTATAAAATAGAAATAATTCATCATATTTATTTAAACTCTAGAAAGCAATTTCTATTAAAACTAACCATATGCACCCACCACAAATTGGTGTATTTTATTACAAAATTTTGTAACATCAACT